TTTCCTCCAACTTTCCTTGCAGCACAAGAAATGGGCAAGAGCACTGATGCAGAAGAACCACAAAAACCAAGCAAACTTAATGTTGAGTCTGAGAAAAAGGACTCTGACTCTTTATCTGCCACCACTGCAGTGCTTGAGGACACCCACCCCTTCTGCCAACCTGAGAGAAAGCAACAGGAGAGGAGAAAAAAAGCAGCCATGTTCCTGTCTCGGCTCAAGAAAGGTGGTGGAGAGGAGGAAGCTGTCAATCAGCCAGCATATGGTAAGTGTTTGTGTGGTTTATGTTTTTTGCAACTTGTTTATTATTTGTCTGTCTGAGATGATTGCTATGTGGATTGATTTTTTGAGGTCTAAAACTTTCAGTAAACTGTATTGAGGATGATCCAATGTTGGTGTGTATTGCCACATAGCTAGGCAGTTGTTTAGCTTATGGTTGGCTGTGGAAGTTGTTAGAAAGATGATGGGGATTTTCAAGCGATTACTGCAAAAATTGCTACTGAATGTGAATTTCAGTCATCTTTATTGATTTTTTCACTGAGTTTCCCATTTTTCATACAGTTGGTTTTACAGATGACATGATAAATATTTTCTGTGACAAGAGACTAACTTCTTTTGCTCTTTTTTTAAGGTGGATATTCATTGTTTTGCAAATATAATTTTTTTGGTGTGGTCAGTCTAGGATCCAATATCCTCTATGTATTTTTTTTCCTGCATGAGTGATTTATTGGTATTAGTTCAAGGCCAAAAGATGTAAAAAAAAAAAAAAAAAAAAAAAAAAAACATTGATTACAAGTTGTATGCCTTGATATCGCTTGTTACATCACAATTTATATACTTTTCCTTTATTTAGATGTTGGGAAGCAATTATCAAGGAAAAAGGACAAAATGATAGTGGCACCTGCCTTAGGCTTGAAATTAAGCTAAGACATTTTTTTTGTTATCTTTTTTGAAGAGTAAGTTGAGACTGAATATACCATTTAATATTAACCCATTCATGCTGATATATTTTGAAACCAAAAATAAAATATTCAGGGCGGCTACAAAATCTGCGGGCGGAGCTTCCCCGGAGTCTGTCTGCCCGCCAGCCGCGGCCCGCTGCTGCATTGGAGTGCGAGCCCGATACAGTGTCACACTGGTGGGACGCCCAGCAATGTTTATTTTTTCGGGTGTCTCATATATGAGACACCTGTTGCTAATGGGTTAAGTATGGCCTTCATCTGTACCTACATTTTTTTTTTTTTTTTTTGCAGGCCCACAACTGCCCCCTGAGATCGCTGCCCAGATCCTTAACTCGGCGTCTCAGTCCCCGCGGTCTTCCGTTACTAGCCCCAGGAGGTCAACACCCTCCAGGTCACGCTCTCACTCTGTCAGCCCTGGCCCAGGGATCCCATGCCCCCCAGGGAAGCTCCAGCACCCCCTCCCCCACCTCCACCCACCCTATCTCCTGTACAGTCTGGACACACTGACATGTTTGATCCTTTCACTTACAAGGCTGGAACGGCAGAGGCATCCTCGGCGCTAACATATAAAAATGATAGGTAAGGAAAAGTGGTTTTGTGTTTTCCTGTATGAGTTCATTGTACTCACAGTGGATGGGCAAATGATCAGTTTCAAAATATTTCTGTATGTTAAGATAAGAGATGAAATTATTTCACATGTTAGGCACATAATAGTGTGAAAATTGTCGAGATAAGAAATTGATGATTATAAATGTACTTCTCACTTCAAAGAGAAAAAAATAAAGGTCTGTTTAGAAGATTCTAAAACCTTAACATCAGTATATAAAATGGTATAATATTCTGCTCTTCTTTTTCAGAACATCTGCTTTGGAGTCATGTATAGCTTCTGGCACAGATTACATAGATACTAGCAAGTCAACTGGGCTACAGGAATCTTCTGTTCTGTCGGGTATGTACCCTGTGATATACTTACATTGCCTTCTCCTCAGGCCTCTGGTGTGCGTCTAGGGTAACTTAATACTCGGCAAGAAAGGAGCAAGAAATTTTCCTGAACAGTAGTGAAAAGTAGTTTCAGGACAAAACAAAAAGTTAATTTATGTTCAGGAATATTTTTTCGCTCTGAATATCAATTTCAGTATGATCTTGCTGAAGAACATTTTCAAAATTTTAAGGATTTAGATATTTTGAATTTTTTACAGCTTGGCTGCAGCAAAAGACCCCACAAAAGTTAATTCACTTATTTATACAAACTTCAAGACCATTTCTCATTTGTTAGCAGTGGTATGCCAAAGAGAAATTTGCTGCAGGCAAGCATTTCATGGGCAAGTTTGCCCTCCTGTACTGCAGTTATCTATGGTCTTTTGACTTGTTGCAGATGTGTTGCAGTGGCTCTCTGCTGTTGATATTTCATCGAGGGCAGCCGTGCAGGTGTAGGTACGAATCGCCAACGAAGAACTACTTTTATTCTTCCTGTGGCTAGTGCAGTGGCTGTCCATGCCTAGTGCTCTAGTTACTGACAGGATTAGCCTCATTTTATAACAAGCCTTTTTTATTGCGGATCTTTTTTGCGAGGTGTCTTATGAATTTTTAAGTGAGCCTCCCCTCTTATTTACACGTGCCATGGAATGAAAAGTAGCTTGGCGACACATTGCCTAGCAGGGAGACAAAGACTTCGGGATTATTGGGCATGGTGATAGTGACCAATTTATAGAAGGGGGATTATTGTGTATAGTGACAACCTCCCATTCTCCCGTTTCTACCCATCTCTTCCCTTTATCATGTCAGTGTTCAGGTTCCTTGGGGTCGCCACCGTGTGATGTCTGCTGGCCGGGTAAGTGCAGGTAAGTAATCTCCTAGTCAGATAGAGCGCGTGTCAGCTATTAAGAAAATGGAGGACAGGAACTTTGATTTCTCAAAAGACCAAAAATATTACAAATTTTTTTACGTAGATATTGGTACTCCAGGTTGGTGTTCGGTAAAGACTTTTCTCTTTCCTTTTTTTTGTTTTAATCTTAGTTTTTATATGTTTTATTTTGGGTTTATATGATGGTCCTGTAATATAAAGAAAATTCTGTTATTGGTCTCTTGAGAATGTGTCAGAAATGTGTATGATTGTATTGTCAAGTCTCTAACAGTTTTATATGATTTTGCTTCTTGAAGACTATGATTATCAGTGTCTAGTGTATGCAAGCAGTATGGGAAGTTGGATACTTGCAAGAGCAGTGGTGTGAGAGAAATGCCTTTTTTTTAAATATACTTTTATTTTATTGTAATAGATGATGTTAAACAAATGCTCATGCAGTTGTCTGTTCACAGGAGCAAGTGAGGAGGGTCGTAGAAGCCAAAGTATAGAGATGAGGAGAAGCAAATCCCGGCAAGTAGAGGCATCTCACCGGGAGAAGTAAGTGATTTTATATTATTATTATTTACAATAAAGTGTGACCACTAAAAGCCTAAATGTATACAGACCAAAGATTTGCTGTTGATGAATTCTTTTCCTATCTGAAGGATGTATATGATTTGCTGACAATTATCTCCATAAAGAGAAAAGTGGTGCTAATGCATGTATTTATTTTATTAGTATGAAAGAGATTTTGCTGACTGTTTTTGCTTCCTCCTCAGAACAAGGAGTCGCAAGAAGCAGCGCCGTGGAAGATCTGAGAGTCGTTCCCCAAGCAGCCGGCGGGATCGCAAGAAACGCAAAAGATCGAGATCACGGTCTCGCCGACATAAGAAGCGACGATCACGTTCAAGATCACACTCCAAAACTCATAGGTGAGTTTAAGGGGACCTTCCCCTTAGAAGGGGTCTTTAGCATTAATCCTATTGATAAACTAATTTGGAATGTAATGTGCGTAAATAGTGACTGGAAAAGTGCCATCTCCAGAGAGGGACGCCATTTCCATGCTGCGCACCGTATTCCTGGCCGTTGTGACTGGCGGTGCTGGTTGTATTACATGAATTAAAAATTGAGAAAAAATGAGATTTGACAAATAACCAAATGTTCCATATTTTTTTCCCCTTGCACTGAGTTATTTACTACAAAGAGAGATGATATGGAGTCTGTGCAAGGAAAATTAGGTATTATCATCTGAATAAAGCAAATCAAAAGACAAATATGGATATTGGGAAATGGCAGTAAAGCTCTAAAAGTTTACACAAAGTAACTTTGCAAAGGGGAGGCACAGTTTTCACCGCTTATGGGTGTTAGTGCATGTCCGGCTGACGTGCCAATGCATGATGAATGGTAAAGTTGCTTTATGCACCAAAGATGCTTACAATTTCAAGCGTGATGAATCAAATCCATACAGAATATATTAATTTGAACACCAATCATTGGTTTACATGATTTGAAGCTTGATTTGAAATTGCTGGGTTAATATTGAAGAAACTCGTGTCCCATTCTTGAAATTTTATTCAACAAATTGTGGATTTGCTTTCAATTAAATATCATTATTTTCATAAAATGATATACAATAGACATGACCTGACCCATAGTGTGGCATAGATGCTGGCAAGTGACCAAGTAGAGCCTATAGGGTAGTGGCTCCCAACTAGTGGGTTACAGAGGATTAGGAGGGGGTCATGAATTCTGGGTGAGAAACTGTATGAGGCTAATTTCATAGGCCTTTGTCAGTATGCAGCTTTAAGAATATGCTATGAAATCTTGTCTTCATGAAGCATTTCAACACATTAGGGAAAATAAATTTTGTAGTTGATTTTAGAGGACTTTAGATGTGTGAAAGGTTTGAGAATAAGGTTGAGTTTGTATGTTGGGAACCACTGCTGTAAGGTGGTCATGGATGTAACACACATGATACTAGCACATTATTTTAGTAACATAAATAAATAGCATAGAATGAAAAGTCTCTTGACAAGTCTATAGGCTTATTGATATTATTTAAAAAGCTGGATACTTGAGACAACCTCACCAACAAATACAGTTTTCTGATGAAAAGGTAAGCATAAAATAGGTTTATTAAGGGTTATTATTACAATTAACACAGTCATAACTCTAATTATTTTCTTCAGCCGGTCTTCCCACAAGAAGAAGCGCAGAAAGCACAGCTCACGCCATGAGAGAGATAGAGGAGAGAGGCGAAGCAAGAAGTCAAGAAGACGTAGTATATCCTCATCATCTTCCTATTCGTCTGAACGTTCTTACTCCTCATCCAGGTCTTCATCAGAGTCTGAGGATGAGGTTCAAGTCATGTAAGTGGTTTGCTTTGTGTGAGGTAAAGGTATGGAGTGTGGCATGATGATTGTGTGTGTGTGTGGTGGAAAGGGTATTGTGTGCAAGCACTCTACCTCCCTCCATCCTTTCTTCTTTCTACCTCCTTCCCTTCCTCCTTTCTACTTTCTACCTCCTTCCCTTCCTCCTTTCTACTTTCTACCTCCTTCCCTTCCTCCTTTCTACTTTCTACCTCCTTCCCTTCCTCCTTTCTACTTTCTACCTCCTTCCCTTCCTCCTTTCTACTTTCTACCTCCTTCCCTTCCTCTTTCTACTTTCTACCTCCTTTCTCCCTTTCTCCCTCTTTCCCTCCCTCCTTTCTCCCTCTCTCACTCCCTTCCTCCTTTCTCCCTCTGTCCCTTCCTCTTTGCTCCCTCTGTCCCTTCCTCCTTTCTCCCTCTGTCCCTTCCTCTTTGCTCCCTCTGTCCCTTCCTCTTTGCTTCCTCTGTCCCTTCCTCTTTTCTCCCTCTGTCCCTTCCTCCTTTCTCCCTCTGTCCCTTCCTCTTTTCTCCCTCTGTCCCTTCCTCTTTTCTCCCTCTGTCCCTTCCTCTTTTCTCCCTCTGTCCCTTCCTTCTTTCTCCCTCTGTCCCTTCCTACTTCCTCCCTCTCTCCCTTCACCTTTCTCCCTCTCTACCTTCCTTTCCCCCTCCCTCCCTTCTCCTTTCTCCCAACTTCCTTTCCTCTTTTCTCCCTCTCTCCCTTCCTCTTTTCTCCCTCTCCCCTTCCTTCTTTCTTCCTCTCTCCCTTCCTTTCTCCCTCTCTCCCCTCTCCCTTTCCCCCTACCCCCCTCTCTCCCCTTTCCTCCTCCCCTACTCTCCTCTCTTCTCTCCCTTCTCCTGTCCTCTCCTCTCCCTTTCTTTCCTCTGCCTCTCCTTTTCTCTGCCCTCTCTTTCTCTCCTTCTTTCTTTCTCTGCCCTCCCTCTCTTTCTGGCCACTCTCTGTCTCTGTCCTTACTCTGCTCTGCCTCCACCCCTTCAATGAGAGTGCTTTTGATTGCTTGCGTGTTTTTTTTTATGAATTAAATTTATTCTTTCAAAAGTTAATGCTGACAGAAAGCAAGATGGTGATAGTTTTTTTTATGTATATATTCCAGTGATTCCCCAGCACATAGCAAGAGAGGGTCACGTGCCTCAAGTGAGGTCAGTGTAGGAGCTTCTGAACTGTCCCTTGTTGGGTAAGTTTGTCTCTTCAAAAGTTGTTTCATTTGTTGTTTTAAAGAATAATATCTAATGTTACTTTATATTATCACAATTTTGTGAGATTTTTGTAAATAATGGAAGTGATGTCCAAAACAATTACTAGTGATTATCAAAATAAAGCTAAAGGCATCACTTATAGTAAAAGATCAAATATAATGCCTGCAATGCATTCACATACACTTAGTGCATACTTCATATGATCTTGATGCATATGTAGAGTTATTAATTATCAGTCTAGACAGTTGATGCTTACCCATAGATATGTTTGTATATTACAAAAGGGTGAATAAGGCTGAAGTACAGAGAGGAGATTTCCATTTTTTATTTTAATCTTTCATATCAGCCCTATGACAAGAATACCTGAAGAGAGTATGTCTGGCCCTCAACCCCACTACCACCGCTGCATTCTTCAACTCTGCGTCTAACGTCTGCTGCTGATGATAAAATGGCGACTGTAGAGGAGGAAGCTATGATAGAGGCAACTGGAAATGGGAGTGCAGCAAGTAGTGGAGAAGGAGAGATGAAAGAGGAAAAGAAAGAGGAGAAGAAGCCATTGTTTAATCCCCAGAGTAGTGCTGCCATGGCAAAAATTGCAATGGTTAGTATTTTCCTTTTTTATCTGAGAAATTTGGCTTTGGCAATTAACATATTTCAGAAATATAACTCATTGTCTTTGTAATAGTAATTTTTGTATATATATAAATTACAATGACTTAGAATTTATATTAATGATAATGAAACCAGTATCTTTGTCTCTGGTAGTGAACTCCAGTGAACTGTGTACACAATTCACTTGAGTTGCCCAAGGCATATTATTTTCTTTTGTCTGATCTCATTCTTACATAATCTGACTTCTATTGCAGGGATTACGAGCGAAAGTTCATGCACTGCTCGAAAAGGAGAGCAAACTATGAAGAAATGCAAATGAAAGAAGAGATAAAAAACAATCAATATTTTTGTCCATGGGAATTGTGATATGTGATTTTGATCTTTTGAAATGTGTATTTCATTTGGCCTGATACTGTTATTGTCTAGATTATATGCTTTGCAAAAAAAAGGGTTCAAACCTTATGTGGAACATTTTGGATATTGAACATTTGGAATGACAAAGAATTGTTGTGGATCTGTAAACTTCGGTAGACAATATGTCAATACTTTCTTATTGTAGTAGGTTTTTGTAAGTAATTTGTGTGAGTATTCAAGTCTTTCACTTATTTCTGCAGTGGAATTAATGTTTATATTTAATAATACTTTGTTTTATTTACCTTTTAAACTGTTGGTATGTACAGCGAAAGTTAGTTAAAATGTAGCAAAATGTATTCTTCAAACTTCAAATAGTTTCCTATGCCAGCAAGTAGAATAACAGCTGAGTATGAATAAATAAATCTTAGTTATCCTTAAACGTGACACTGGCACATGTGCAAAGATATTCCTGCAAAGACTGGCCAAGTAACTGATGACAGCATAGATCCCTCCCAGATTATGAAAAAGAACAATGTACTAGTTACCATGAAACAATATGCATATAAAAAGGTGGAAATCAAGAAAATAAAAACAATAAGATTGGATGATATTGATAATTCTAAGCAAAAAAGGTGCATAAGAAGGTAAAAAATTATAGGTATATGAAAAATTGCTTGCATGTTATCGTTGGGGTGGGCGGCGGCTTAGGAGGCAGGGAAAGGGATCCAATACTGGGGACCTCCCAGCCCTCAGCCCCCTCCTGCTTTTTCGTTTTTGTTTTACTCCCCCCCCCCCCAATCCCTTGCCCGTTGTTGTCGTGGGGGGGCTTAGGAGACGAAGACTGAGACCCAATACAGGGATCTCCCCTGCCTAGGGCCTCAGCCCTCGACTCAACTAATTTTGCATGGTCTTTTCCCTTTCCAGCTTTTGTTTCCGTCTCTTCTCCATCCCCTTCTGCTATCTACTTCCTAAGGTGTGAGACCGTGCTGAGAGGATGAAAGGCTGACCTAGTGCCAGTCCTGAACGGCCTGCGGGAACTATGGGCACGGTACTCCTGACTAATCTAGCCCTTACCTTCAGTAGCGAAAGGAGGTGGACCGTTAGGCCTTTTATAATCCAGGTTCCCCATGACCAGTAATGAAAATGTAATCCTTTATTAGAGGCTATGAGGCTAGCCCCTTTATCAAATAGCCCCAACCCAGGCTCTCCTTTGACCACGGCTCCGAACACAAACTACTACCCACTCCTCAATGCCTACTAGTGCATTACCCACCCAAGCAGAGAATCAATCTCCAGAAGACATTCCTACCCACCCAACTTCCTCAAATTCAACTCTACCCTGCAACCTTCATCAAACAACCAATCCTCCCTTATTACTACCTTGCAACCTTATTCTCCATCATTCCGTAATACTCCCTCTTCCACACGTCCCCGACTCCACCACCACCAACCCTACAGATATCTTAATACTCTGTTTAGCCCAGCTAAATGGGACCGATTTTTCGTGATCCCTGCTACAGCTCCTTACTCAGGCAACACTCTTCTCTTTCAACAATGCCTCCAAAAACAAGTAGGCAGAGTCCCTTTCTATACCAGACGCGATCGCTCCCGTCTGGTAACAGTCAGATCAGAAACTGAATCTATAGCACTCAAATTTAACTGATCATTCTGGCAACCCCATTCCTGCAGAACCTCATCCAACCCTTAATACCTGTACCGGAACTGTCTCTCCCCAGCAAACTGCCCAGTCGATACCAAAGATTGGTCAGACTGTGGAGGACTTATTAGGATGCCTCAAAGACCAAGATGTGAAATCAGTACATTGCTACACCATTCCTCCTAAAGGTCAACGAAAGAATCCGACCAATATTGCCAAAATTACCTTCTACACATGACCTTCCCTTACGTATCTACATTGGTGGACAATCCCTCCCTGTTCGACCATACCAACCCCCTCCCGTCAATGTCAAAACTGTTGGCGCTTTGGACATCCTGCCAAACATTGCCGTTCCACAGACCGATGCCCCATATGTGCCCAACCTGGTCATAATCGATCAAACTGCTCAGCACAAACACGAACATGTGCTAACTGCGGCGCCCCCATAATGTATTTTATAGAGGCTGTCCCACTTACAAGTTTGAATCTGAGGTAGCAACTCTCAGATACAAAAATGGTCTCACTTTACGTGAAGCCAGACAGGAAGCACGTCGACAAGGTTTCTCTATCATACTCCATATTCTAGCAACATCGTTCGCTCAGCCCTTCCCCCTCCACCCCAAAAATGTCCCCATTTCCACTTCTACATTCTACATCCCTCAGACCAATTCCTTTGCCACTCTAAACCCAGACACCCCAATCTCAACCACAGCTCCTATCTCAACCAGCCCCAACACCAACCCCTCTCCCTCCCCGCACTACCCGCAGTAGACAGACTAAACGTTCTAACCCTTCTTCCCCTACAGCACAATCACCTCCACCTACCTATACCTTTGTTCCTGAGACACCAGTCTCCTCCCCCCCCTCATAAGAAAACCTTTATCCACAAAACTCTCCAACCAATTCCATTGCAGAAACAATTACCTTCTCACAAAACTCTCCAACCAAACTCCACTGCAGAAACAATGGATGACATTCAAAGCTATATGCTTGAGACACAAGATCCCATAACTCATGCTCCTCAATTCCGTCCACCTCCGATATCCATCCTCCCAATACCCATCCTCCTGATATGCATCCCCCTCTTACTCACAGCACCCCTACACCCCTTCCTCCTAATCCCTCCCAAGACAACACATCCCCTTCAACTCCAACTATCCATCCTTCTGATATTCATCCTCCTAACACTAATACTCCCCCACATCTACTCCCTCCCAACACAACCCACCCCCTTCAACCCCAACTATAGGCACATTCTCCCTCCCTCCATCCCCTCTATCCTTTGCACTCCCTCCCGGATACACACGAGAATCACTCATGGCACAACAATGCCCTTCTCCAGATTCCCTACCTCCTAATATCCCTCCTTTACACCCCCTAGCTCCTTCCCCTTCAAATTCCCCAACGTACTTGTTATCATTCATAAATCAACTAGGATATAGCTCTCCTACATTGGAATATTCGCGGTTTCCGCTCTCATAGATCAGACCTACGTCATATCCTTGCTTCTTATAATCCATCTATTATCTGCCTCCAAGAGACTTTCCTCACACACCCTCCTATTCCAATTCCCAATTACCATTTTATCTCTTCCCCACACTCCCTTTATGTCTCGTCTATACTTATCCATCATAAAACACCTTATGTCATACCTCCCATACAAACTTCTGTCCCGTGCACAGCTATTCGCATCTTTCTTCGCCGCTGGATCACAGTGATTTCAGTCTACTTCTCCCCATCCCATCCCATTGACTTTACTGCCTTTGACTCTAATTTCCCAACTCCAACCACCTTTCCTCATAGTTGGTGATTTCAACTGCCGCCACACTCTGTGGGGTGACTCTACCACCAACTCCCGAGGCCGATCTCTAGAACGCTTCCTCTTCACAAATAACCTAATTATTCTTAATTCAGATCGCCCCACACACTTTGACATGCGCACACAATCCTTTTCATGCCTTGACCTCTCTCTATGCTCTCCTACTTTACATCTAGATTTCCATTGGTCAGTTCTAGACCACTTCCCCTATAGTGACCACTTCCCAATACTCCTTTCTCCTACTTCATATGTACCACTTCCTAATCCTCCACGCTGGTGCTTTGATAGAGCTGACTGGCATACTTTCACTTCACTCTCTACTATACCTATCCCTCCACCCCCTTACCGTCCATTTCAGATATGCTACATTGTTTTACAACCACGATCCTAAGAGCTGCCTATACAGCCATTCCTCGAACTTCAAGACCTATACCCTAAATGTGTTCCATGGTGGAATTCTGATTGCAAAAAGCGCTCGCTTAAAACGAGCAGCCTGGAACAGCTATCGCTACAAACGAGGCACCCCTCACCAGCTATCAGCCCTTATTTCCTTTAAAAGAGCATCTGCCCATCTTCGCCGTACAATTAAAAACAGCAAAACAAATAGCTGGCAAAATTATGTTTCCTCAATTACATCTACATCTATTTCAGCTGTTTGGCGACGGATCCATAAATATCAGGCAAACATCCCCCCCATCCTGCACCCATATTCGAGATATTCTCATCTCTGAGCCTGTCGAAGTAGCTAATGAACTGGGCAACTATTTCAGCCAGGTCAGTAGTGGCTCTCACCTTTCCCCACACTTTTCTTCCATTAAAACCATCAAGGAACGCACCCCTATTACCTTCACCCTATCCTCTGATGAGTCCTATAATGCTCCTTTTTCTTCTTCTGAACTCAACGCTGCATTACAGTCGTGCCGCAACACTCATGAAGGCCCTGATGGTATTCACTATCGTATGCTCCGACACCTCCCATCTTCCTCTCTATCCTTCCTTTTAACTATTTTCAACCACATATGGACGTCAGGAAATTTTCCTTCTCATTGGCGAGATGCTCTCTCCTACCTTTCTTAAAAACAGGTACCCTAAAGATTACATAGCTCTAAGCTGCTTGTGCAAACTACTAGAACGAATGGTTAACTTCCGTTTAATGTGGTACCTAGAATCTCATAATCTCCTTTCCCCTTCCCAGTTTGGTTTCCGACGTGCCCGAAGTACAGCAGACCCACTTGCCCATTTCGAGACATACATTACATCGGCATTTGCACGCCATGAATCCGTATTAGCCATTTTTTGATCTAGAAAAAGCATATGACACCACATGGCGATACCATATCCTCCAACAATTGTCCTCCCTAGGTTTACGTGGAAACATGGGTGTTTTCATTAAATCCTTCCTTTCTAAACGTACTTTCCAGGTCAAGATTGCCTCTTCCATCATCCTTTCCTCAATTCGAAGGCGTCCCACAAGGAAGTGTGCTTAGTACCACTTTATTCCTTCTTGCTGTAAATGACATAGTCTCAGTCCTACCACCAGGAGCCAGAGCATCACTATATGTTGATGACTTAACCATCTATGCATCTGGCACATCCATACCAGATCTCTGTCAATTCCTTCAGTCTGCAATAACATCAGTAACTTCTTGGGCCACCAACCATGGCTTTCGCT